GAAGAAGAAGAAGAAGAAGAAGAAGAAGAAGAAGAAGAAGAAGAAGAAAAGAAAGCACACAGACTTATAACTGCACAAAAATTTTGGCATACCCAAATTCATAAACCAAAAACTATGGCTATGAAGACAAGACACCACTATAATCACAGTGGGTGACTTCAACATCCTGCTATTACAATTACACAGCTCAACCTGACAAAAATCAACAAAGAAATAATCAAGAGTTAAATCACAACACTGAGCAAACCAACAGCAGATACCTACAGAGTGTCTTATCCAACAAGACAATACACACTTTTCTCTGAAGCACACAGAACATTTTCCAAAACATACTATATCTTAGGCCACAGACCATGATTATAAAATATAAAAATAACTGAAATAATTAAATAATTCTCCATTATCAGATCATAGTAGAATAAAGCCAATTTAGTAATCAGTTATAGTATCAGCTAGAAATAAGCAGCTAATGAAACTACAGAAATTATACAAACACATAGAGATTAAATAATATATTACTGAATAATCAACAGATCACAGAAGAAATGAGGGAATAGAAAAGTTTCTAGAAGTGGGCCGGGGAGATAGCTCAGTGGCATAAGTGCCTACCTGGCAAATGTAAGGTCCTGAGTTCAATACCCAGTACCAAAAAGAAAAAAATTCTAGAACTAAATGACAATGAAAATATATCAAAACCAATGAGACACAATGAAAGCAGTTCTAAGAGATAAATTTGTAGTTGTGAATATGCCCATTAAAAGAATAGGGTAAAAAAAAGCTCCTTTAGGGGCCGGGGAGATGGCTCAGTGGAATAAGCGCTTCCCTGGCAAGCACAAGAGCCTGAGTTCAATCCTCGGTTCTGCAAATAAATAAATAAATAAATAGTAATCCCAAATAAGTAAATAACCTAGTAATATATCTCAAGTCATAGAGAAAAAGAATACCCCAAATCTGAAACTAGTATAAGAAATTATAAAGATCAGAGTGGAGAGGCTGGGGAGATAGCTCAGTAGAATAAGCGCTTTCCTGGCAAGCGCAAGGGCCTAAGTTCAATCCCTGGTTCTGCAAAAAAAAAAAAAAAAAAACAGAGTGGAAATTAATGATCTTGAGACTAAAAAGCAATCCAAAGAAGTACATATAGCTAAGTTAGTTTAGAAATATTCTAGGCAGTTAGATAGGGCTAGACCCTCAAAGGAGTCAGTGCAGAAGACGAGAACACATCATAACTGTGGGAAGAGGCACATTTGTTCAAGGCCAGGCCTCGAAACAAATGTGAGTGACTATACCTACTTCCCCAGGGATGATTGATAGTCTAAACAGACATCAATCACCTGGATGGGGACCAAGACCTTGACCTATCCCTTCCAGGATGGTCCTTGCTCTCTCCATGCACATTTGCTACATGACCTGCTTCTCCACTGGATTAGTATTACCAAAGCTAATTGTAATCTTATCAGTTGGTCATAGTTCTGTCTCAGCTTATAAATGCCTTGTGATTTTTCCATTGGATCAATATTACCTAAGCAACTATACTTGTAATCTTACTGATCATAATTCTGTCCCACTTTATACCTACTTGATGATTTCATACCTACCTCGTGATTTCTGCTCTATAAAACTTGCTTTGAGAAATGGGCTTGGGAATAAACCACTTTCCAGATCCCCTTCTGTCTCTTAGACAAAAGTTATCTTTCCCTCAATAAATATTTCCTACTTGTTTGTTTTGAGGCAGGGTCTTGTTACGTAGTTCAGGCTGGCCTTAAACTCATAGTGATTCTCTTGCCTTAGCCTCCCAA